AACCAATGTCATAAAACAACATGTGTACTACTGTTTCATGAGAAACTATTTGTTCTGTAAGCCTTCACCTGAAGTACAATATAAAAAAAAAAATTTCCTTCCAATCTGTGACTTGTCTTTTCATTGTCTTAACAGTGTCTTTCAAAGAGCAGAAATTTAAATTTCATGAAGTCCAACTTGTTGATTTTTTTCTTTCATGCTTTTGGTGTTATATTAAAAATCTTTGCCTAATCCAAGGTCACAAAATTTTTCTCCTGTGTTTTCTTCTAGAGTTTTATAAGTTTAGGTTTTATATCTTGGTGTATTATATATATATTTTTAAATGATTTTTCTGATATTTAATTCACATACCATACCATTCACCCATTTCATGTGTGTGATTCATTTTTTTTTTTATATTCACAGCATTGTGCAACCGCTGCCACAATCCAATTTTAGAACATTTTCGACACTCCATAAAGAAATTCTTACTTATTAGCAGTCAGTCCCCATTCTCCTGCACCCTCCTTCCTCCCAGCCCTAGGCAACCACTAATCTACTTTTTGTTTAAAGGATGGCACAGGACCAAGCAGTGTTTCGTTCTGTTGTACACAGGGTTTCTATGAATCGGAACCGACTCATGGCGCTTAACAATAACAATGATTAGTAGGAACTGTTTGTTAGGAAAATTAGCTTCTGTCTGTGATATGAGTTGCAATGTTTTTGTCACAGTTTGTCATTTATCTTTTTTTTTTTCCTTTCCCCTATGGTGGTTTTTGTTGTGAAGAAATTTTAGGTTTTAATGTGGCTACATTCATCAGTGTTTTCTTATACATCGTCTGAGTTTTGGGTCATAGGAAGGAAGGCCTTTCTCACTCTCAGATTAAAAAGAATTCTCCCATAGTTTATTCTAATACTTCTATGTCTTCATTTTTAAAAAAAATTTAAATATTGGCTCCATTTGGAATTTATACTCATATGAGAGTGTAAGGTTTGGGTCCAACTTTGTATTTTTCCTAGCGGTTACCCAGTTGTACCCAAACAATTTATTAATTATCCATCTTTTCCCTACTGATTTAAAATGCCACTTTTTCCATATACTAAATTCCCATATGTATGTTTGTCTATTTCTAGACTTTCAGTTCTATTTCATTGATCTCTCTGTTCACTTGTCAATGTCTGTTTTAGTGAAAGCATGTTTTAAAAGCTGGTAGAATTTTTCACTCATCATTGTTTTCTTTTATATAATTTCCTGGCTGTTCTTACATTCATAAAAAATACGAATGTAAGAGTCAGTTTATCTGGTTTTAGAAAAAAGACCTGTTAATTTCTTGTTGGAATGTCATTAAATTAATGTGAAAGCTGGACAATGAAAAAAGAAGACTGCAGAAGAATCGACGCATTTGAATTATGGTGTTGGAAGAATATTGAATATACCATGGACTGCCAGAAGAACAAATAAATCTGTCTTAGAAGAAATACAGCCAGAATGCTCCTTAGAAGCAAGAATGGTGAGAATTCATCTCACTTACTTTGAACATGTTATCGGGAGTGATCAGTCTCTGGAGGACATCATGCTTTGTAGAGGGTCAGCGAAAAAGAGGAAGACCCTCAACAAGATGGATTGACACAGTGGCTGCAACAGTAGACTCAAACATACCTACTGTTGTGAGGATGCACAGGACTGAGCAATGTTTCGTTCTGTAATACATAGGATCACTATGAGTCAGAATTGACTCTACAGTACCTAAAAACAACATTAGATTAATAGATTAACATAAGGGAGTATTTATGATATTGAATTCTGACTAGCCAAGAACCTGGTGAGCTTTTTTATTTGTTTGACTTTTGTGGTCTATAGAAGCATTTTCCTCAAATAAATCTTCCCCGTTTTTTGCTAAGTTTAATCTTAGATGTTTTGTATTTTCTATTCCTATTGTAAGGAAAAGATATTTCTTTAATAACATAACTGGTTATCATTTGTACATATGAGACCTGTTAACAAAATGTTATTTACATATCCAGTTATCTTACAGAAATTATTTTTATTTTTTAAATAGAGGTGAAATTCACATAACATAAAATTAGCTATTTTAATGTGTACAATTCAGTGGCACTCAATATACCCACAGTGCTTGCAACCACCGCCTCCATCCAGTTCCAAAACATTTTCATCATCCTAAAAGAAAACTGGACACATTAAGCAGTCACTCCCCATTCCCCTCTCCCTCCAGCCTCCAGTAACCACCAGTCCACTTTCTGTGTCTATTGATATACCTATTCTGAATATTTTATATAAATGGAATCATACAATGAGTGACCTTTTGTGTCTGGCTTCTTTCACTTAGCATGTTTCCAAGGCTCATCCATATTGTAGCATGTATCAGTACTTAATTCCTTATTATGGCTGCATAATATTTCATGATATGGATATAAACCAAACCAAACTCACCGTTGAGTCGATTCCGACTCATAGCAACCACATTTTATGTATCTTTTCTTCAATCGATGGACATTTGGGTTGTTTCCACTTTTTTGCCTATTATGATTACTGCTGCTGCAAACATTTGTGTACAAGTTTTTGTGCAGCCATATGTGTTTAATTATCTTGGGTATATATCAAGGAGTGGAATTGTTGGGTTATATTGTGAGGAGACCTTAGTATATTCATTATATAGCTGAAGACACAGAGGACAGGGAAGGAAACTATTTTTCCCAGGATCTCACAGCTAAGAAGTGGGGGGTGCTAGAATTCAAGCCCATTTCAGGGGCCCCAGGGCTCAAGTCCCAGCTGCTTCTCATGCTACTCTTTCACACATACCACCCTCTTACCCCACAAACAAGAGGCAAATGGCGCTGATCCTCAGGCACACCAGGCTCTCAAGCAGAGGCGACTTTGCCCTCAAGGAGACAGTTGGTAATGTCTGGAGACATTTCAGATTGTCACAACTTGGGGAAGGTGCTATACGGTCTTGAGGATAGAAGCCAGGGATGCTGCAAAACGTCCTATAGTGCCTAGGACAGGCCCCCAACAAAGAGCTATCCAGCCTGACATGTCAGTAGTGCTGGGGTTGAGAGGCTCTGCTTCCGATCAAACAGGATTGCCTTACAGATACGTACTGCGGATACTTCCTGCCAGATACATGGGCCCTTGCTCCTGTAGTCTTAACCAGGGCATCCTGACCGATGTGGGCACCTACATGCTTCCAGATGATGAAGACCCACTTCCAGATATGGATAGAGAGTTCTTGCCAGTTTTTGGACTAAATCCTTTCAAGATGTGGGGGGACTTGTTATGGATTGAATTGTGTCACCCCCCAAAATATGTTAGAACCCTAATCCTTATATCTGTGTATGATGGTTAAGATTGTGTGTCAGCTTGGCTGGGCCATGATTCTCAGTAGTTTGGCAGTTATGTAATGACGCAGTCATCCTCTAAGATGCGATCAGCAAATCAGTTGTAAGGCGAGTTTCCTCGGAGGTGTGGCCTGCATCCAATAAATACATAGATGTTTTGGCAAAGCTTGCTTGCTTGCTCTGGATCTTGCATCCAACTCATCATCATTTGACTTCTGGTTCTTGGGACTTGAGCCAGTGGCCTGCTGTATTGCCTGCGGATCTTGGAATTCATCAGCCTCTGCAGCCTGTGAGCCAGCAGCCTGCTCTCTGACCTGCCAGTCTTGGATTTGTCAGCCTCAGTAGCTTGTGAGCCAGCAGCCTACCATTTTACCTGCCCATCTTGGATCTGTCAGCCTCTGCAATTACATGAGTCAGCCTGATGCCTGACCCATGGACTTGGGACTTGCCAGCCTCTACCACCGCATGAGCTATTTCCTTGAGATAAATCTCTCTCTCTCTCTCTCTCTCTCTCTGTATATATATGCTTCACTGGTTTTGCTTCTCTAGAGAGCCCAGACTAAGACGCTGTAGATGTACCCTCATTTGGGAATAGGGTTTTCTTTGTTATGTTAACGAGGCCATATCAGTAGAGGGTATATCTTAAAACCAATCACTTCTGAGATATAAAAACACAGATTAGGCACAGGAGAAAGCAGGAACAGGGGAAAAGATAGATGACACTTGGAGAGCTCCAAGGAATGCCAAGAAGAGCACTAGAGAAACTGAGACAAGGACTTTGCCCAGGGAGCACAGAGAAAGCTTTTCCCTGAAGCTGTAGTCCTGAGTTCAGACTTCTAGCATTCTGAACTGTGAGAAGATAAATTTCTGTTCATTAAAGCCACAGACTAGTATTTTTGTTAAAGCAGCACCAAGAAACTAAGACGGGAACTTCTAACAGACATGGGTGGACTCACCCTTCCATGTGAAGAGAACTTCCTTCCAGGTGTGGACAGAGAGCACTTTGGGCCAATGCCCTTTCTCATGTGGTGGGGAGGGGCTGACTCACAGTCTAGTGCACAAACCCCTACCCCCGCAGACAGAGCACACCCTGCAGCTGTGGATGGGGACTTGGCCAGCCAGCTGTGGGCAGGGCAGTGGAGGTGGGAGGGAGGAGGAGGAGCCTCCTTTCTAGGGTATGTGTCACCTGCATCTTGCCTGGGAGTACAGACCTGGCACTGCCCTGCCAGTGGGCACATGGCAGTGTGAAGCTGGGGCCTGCTCCCCAGAGCCTTAAGAGCCGATCACGGACCTTTCGAGCCCTATGTCGCTGGCCCCCCAGGATCCACAACATGGCAGATGGGGCACAGGCCAACCCCAAAGGGTTTAGGAAGAAGGTGCTGGTTACATACCCCTCTGGGTGTGGGGTCTTGTGCTTCAGGGCCTCCTCTACTTGGAGAACCTCCAGGTATGTGCCTGCTACCCTCGGATGGAATGCTCTGTTGAGGGGGCTGGGTTTGGGTGGTGGGAGACTGGCTTCTAGAATTCGTTTCTCCAGAAAGGAGAGCTCTGATTCTCAGAATGATGGGCTGAGATATGTCATTGCATTTTCAGGGCTGGAAGGGACTTAGGGATCATCTAGTCAAACCTCATGGGGCACTTGAGGCCCAGAGAGGATAATGGATCTGCCTTCAGTTACACAGCATTTTGGAAGCAGAGCTGGGACTAGAACCCAGGAAACTCTTGTCTCCAGGTTCAAGACCCAGCCACCAGGTTGGGTTGCAGCTCTCTGTCTCAGAACTGCATGTGGAAGAGGGGTTGGCTCTTATCCAAGACGGTAGCCCAACCCCAAGAGATGGTGAGCTCCCTGTCTTGAAGAAGATGCAGGGTGGGGTCCTGCCCAGAGTGGGAGGCAGGGAGGGTCTGTTCCTCCAGCAGGAGCAGCAGAGGCAGGGAGGTGATTTCATCTTCTTGGAGGAGCTAATCATGTGCCTGGGCAGCAGCAACTGAGACATATGGGACAGTGTTTATGGAGCCTGTAGCAAAGCCCAGAGGGTGCAGCAGGCCTGGAACTACAGGAAGGTGAAGGGGATGGACTCGAGACCTGGGTTTCTTCCTCTTGCAGGTCTAGCTTGGGTATGAAGAAGCTCTTCACCATTGCCATCCTGGTGGGCAGTGGTGAGTAAAGGCTCTGAGGAAGACTCCTCCTTCTCTCCCCCTCCCCAGCCCTTTTCCGTGACCTTGGGCGCCCTGGGCTCAAGTTCCACTGACTAAGTGAGACCTTGGACCTGTCACTTCCCCTCTCTGGGCCTCCACTTCCTGTTTCAGCCCCCTGCCAGGCTTCATCCTCCCTTCTGGGGCTGTTTACTCCTTGGTTACCTGTAAACATGCCAGGGTCAGTCGCATTTATGAGCCTCAAGGGGGCAGGGCCCAGAGCTGAGCAAGCATCGTAAAATGGTGGTGTTTGCTGGTGTTTTGCCTGGGTGCCCCAGCAAAATCCAGGTGTTTGTGTACATAGAAGTGTGTAACTGTGAATGTGTATATATGTGGACATGAAGTGATGGGTTTGTGTGTGGGTATTCAGCATATATCTACTGTGTGTGAAGGTGTGTCTGAGAATAGGGTTGTGTCTATGTGTATAGCATATGTGAATAAAATGTGTGTCCCTGTTGGCACCTGAGCGTGAGGGTATATTTGTGTCTATTGATGTCATTGTGCATTAATGTGATGGGTATGTCGATAAAGTGTGTATATGAATATATTTTAGTTACCATCAAGTTGGCTCTGACTCACAGCAATCTTATGTATAACCCAACAAAAAAAACGTTGCCCAGTCCTACACCATCTTCATGATCGTTGGTACTTTCAAGTCCATTGTTTCCGCTATTGTGTCAATCCATCTCATTGACAGTTTCCCTCATTTTTGCTGACCCTCTACTTTACAAATCAAGATGTTCTTTTCTAGTGATTGGTCTTTCCTGATGACGTGTATAAAGTAAGTGGGCCGAAGTCTTGCCATCTCACTTCTGAGGAGGATTCTGGTTGTATTTCTTCTAAGATAGACGTGTTCCTTCTTTTGGCAGTCCATGATATATTCAATATTCTTTGCCAGCACCACAATTTATATGAATGTAGGTGTGCATATATCTCCCTATAAGTGTGTATGTAGGAGAGCGTGTGTGTGTGTGTGTGAGTGTACAAAAAAGATACTTCTTCACACACAATAGGTATATGGTGGAGAAGGCTGCGGAGACTTCTCTCCCTGGTGGTACTCCAGGGCACCATGGATCAAAGGGAGCCACCCTACGGTATTGTCAAGTGAGGCTTCTGACACACATCTGGCCCTTGTCACACATCCAGATGTTTTTGGGTGGCAGGTGACTCAGGTACATGGAATGTGGACTGAACCTCTCATTGACTTTTTATACAGCCAGTTAAATATTGCCTGAGCACAGACTGGCTTGAAGAAAAGGAATACATACCAGAAACAAACAAATAAAAAATAATAAGGTTAAATTTGGCCAGACATGAGAAATCATTGGTTGAGTTCAGGCAAAGTGACCTATTATTTAGAAAACAGTGGTTAGGTCAGAGCCTTTAGCTTGACCAAACACAGACTTTGTTACTTGTATTTGGAGAGTAAGTATGGACGAGGCCTTAGCTTCAGGCCACTGCTTCTCCCTTGGTGTTATGTGTGTGTGTGTGTATCTGTGATGTGTGAGTGTGAGTGTGTGTGCAAGCATGAGTGTACAAGCATGTGAGAGTGTGGTGTGAGGTGTGTGTCTGTGTGTGAACACAGGAGGTATGCGTGAGTGCGAGATGTGTAAGTTGTATGTATCTGTGCATGAGTGTATATGAGTGTGTGAGATGTGTACATTATGTGTGAGGTATGTGGGAATGAGTGTGGGTACAACTGTGTGAGGTTGGTGAGTGTGAATATGTGAGGCATGTGTGTGGGAGTGAGTGTGTGTGTGAGTATGTGAAGTGTGTAGTGGTAGTGGGAGGTGGGTGTGTCTGTGTGTGAGATGCGAGTGAGGTATGTGTGTATGTCTCTGTGTGTGTGTCTATGTGTGAGGTGTGTGTGTATGTGAGGTGTACAGAGGTAGTGTGAAGTGGATGAGTGTGTGTGTGTGTGAGGTGTGTGTGAGAGATAATGTGTGAGTGTATGTATGAGAGAGTAAGAGAGAGAGAGTGTGTGTGTGTGTGTGTGTGTGTGTCCACCTTATGTGTGGCTCGGTAAGTTTCTCACTCTTCTTCTCTTACAATATGGGAGAAGTTGATGGTCAGGGAGTTCTGAGGGCTGAGGATTTCTCCCTCCCCGCCCCCACCCAGGATGCCATCTGCACGGATAGCGGACAGGGGGAGATGGGAGGTAGGGTGGGGGCTTTTCAGGCTGAGGGAGCGAGGAGGACTGGCTCCTACAGGTGTGAGTCTCACCTCAGGGTGCTGCCTGGGCCAGTGCTCCACACACATTCGTGACCTCACCTGAATCCCCAGTGCTCTGCACAGGGACTGTCATTACCACCAGCCCTCAGATTTGGGAATTGTGGCCAAAGAGGTAAAGCAACCTGCCCAAGGTCCCACAGTACCAGCTGATAAACCTGTTTTCAAAGCCAGGTCTGTCTGTCTCCCAGACGGCTTTGCACACGTTTTACTGGAGCAACAAGAACCCAACAGAGTGGGAGGAAGGGGATGGGGGTGAGAACTAACTATCCAGCAGGCACCCTCTCGGCTCCTTTCACCTACTTTCTATTCAACAGCTGTTTCAGGCAAATCTCCTTTTGCAGGTCAGGAGACTGAGGCTCAGGCCCTCTGAATGCAGGGTCCCCTCTCTCCCTGCCCTGGACCCCAACTTAGACATTTACGTGGCTTTAAACCACCCTCTTTAAAGTTGTGTTTCATTTCTCCCTATTGCTGCCTCATCTTCTCTCCTGTTTGCTCCCTGTTCTTCATAGTGACGAAAACCATGAAGCCAAGAGACGGGAAGACTCAGGTGGGGCAGGATCCCCAACATCAACTCTGAAGGGAGGGCAGGCTTGGCCCAGGGCCCCAACAAGGCCCCAGGGGTGGTATGTGGAGGCAGTGAGGGTCTTGTGTGTGCCAGTCCCCAAGTTGGGCACTGTCTACCTCATCTGTCAAGGTTAGGGTTGCTATTACCATTGTACAGATGAGAAAGCAGAACTCCAAAGAGCTCTGACTGGGCACAGGGATTTGACTCTGAGTCCTTCTTCTCCCTGCCTGGCCAGATGCCTCTGCTCCCAGCTCTGTCTGACTTCAAAGTCTGTGCTCTTCCCACTAAGGCATATTGAGCTGGTGAGATGTTGGACAGCCACATCTGAAGAAGCAAGGAAGAGTGGCTTTTGGGATTCTACTCAGTCCTGTTTCTGGAATTCTTGGCTTCCTCCCTCTCCCATTACATTTCCTGGTTCCGGCTGTGGGGCTGTGGATCACGGTGGGGAACGTGGAGAGAGGAGGAAGCACCTAACCCGGGGCACAGCTGGAGGAGCCTAGAGGGCTGGGGGGCTGGCGGGAGCTGTGCTGTGGGGCGGAGCGCCCGTTTGGACTCTGCCACTGCCAGACCGTGTGACCCTTCCAGCCTTAGTCTCCTCACCCACACAACGGGGATGGAGCGGCTCTCCTGCTGGTGTGTGGGGTGCCTCACCAGGCAAGCTCCACGCACAGAGCCTTGGCTCAGCCCTGAGTCAGGAGCAGACATGGAGGCAGCGCAGGCATGAAGCGGGAGGAAACACAGAGCGGGGAGACTACAGTGTTGGGGAGGGCGGGGTGTGCCTGGCAGGCTCCGTGAAGCTGACTTTGCTAGTACAGAAAGTGTACTTGCACTATGCTTCCTGTGAGACACAGACAAAGGAGAAAGGAGTGAGTGTGTGTGTGCACACTGTGTGTGAAACTGAGCGTGCGTGTCCATGAGTATGCACATGCATGCGTGAGTGTACGTGTGTGTGTGCACACGATGTACGAAAGTGTGTGTGCACAAGTGTGTGTGGATGTGTGTGTGTGCATACATGCATGAGTGTGTGTGACACCCACATACACAGCAACCCGCTCCCAACTCGCAGCCAGTATTAGCCTATAACATGAAGCGCCAAATTGTCTCTGGATTAATCCTGAGATGTGCCAACCCCGGGACCGCAGTGGGGACACTGAGTTCAGCTGGGAGTGGAGGCACCTGGACAGGCAGTGAGAGGAAGGGCCCAGACCCAGAGTCAAACCCCTGTTGTTCATAACTGCACGTGGCATTTGCACAGCCCCTCCTAGTGTGCCTGCCCCTCGGCGCCCCCCGTCCACCCCCTGACAAACCAGCACTTCTGAAAGGCTAAGTGTGTGGGCTCCAGACCCTGACTGTCCAGTCCACATTCTGTCACTGCCACTTTCTGACAACAGGACCTTGGGCAAGTTCCTTAAGTGCTCTGGGCCTCAGTCTCCTCATCTGTAAAATAGGGATAATAATAGCACCTCTTGGGGCAGCCGTGAGTGCTCAGTGAGTTAATGCTTGGGAGGGGCTTCAGATAGTGCCAGCACAGTATAAGTCCTCCACAAATATCGACTCTCATGATTATTTTCTCAGGACTAGGGCTTAAGGTAGGAATACGGGTAACACACCGTACTTGGTACTTGAGCTCACGGCAGCCCCCTTGGTTCTCTTGCAGTTCTGCGCGCAGCCCAGGGCAGCCTGTTCAACCTCAAGTCCATGGTGGAAACCATCACCGGGAGAAACGCCCTCTGGACCTTCATGGGCTATGGCTGCTACTGTGGGCTGGGGGGACGAGGCCTGCCCATGGATGGGGTGGACTGGTAGGTTCTGGGCTGACCGGGTTCCTACTGGGGGCAGGGGTGGCCAGCAGAATGTCACTCTTATCTCCACTTCTGAGAAGTGGGAGAGGGGCCTTTCCCCAAAGGACAAGGCTTGTGTGATGAGTTTGTGACTAGAAGCCTGTCTTTTGACTGTGGCATCTCCAGCTGTCTTAGACATTTTCTGTTGTCCCTCCCTAAGATCTCAGGCTTGAAGGCATTTGAACTCCCACTTTCACTAGGAAGGGACCTTTGATCTACCCAAAAGCACACATGGGAGCAATAGTCACACAGCTGATGTCCTGCACAGGCCAGGACTGTGACCCCTCCCCAGCCCCACCCCATTGGACCGGAGGTGCTAGAGGACAAGGACTGTGCTTCCTCCATTAGACTGGGAGCTCCCCGAGGCCATGGCTTGTCTTCTGCTCCTGCCTCCCCAACAACAGCTAGCACAAAGTCTGGTATCACTGGGAGCCTAATAAATTGCATGTTGGCCAATTGACTTCACTCCCCCGAGGTGATGGCAACAGCCACATTTGCTTCCCATCACCCAACCCCTCCATCTCCACTCGACCCTCCAGAACTCTGTCCCTGCCTGACCATCATGCACAGCCAGTGACAGCCTCTGTGTACAGTCAGCGCTCTCCTGACTCCCTCCCTCACACCCTGATCACACTGCTGGACCACCGGACCCTCCTGCAGCTGCATCCAGGGCCCCAAGGGGGATAGGACAAAGAGGCAGAATCTCAGACAGAAATTGGGGTGCTGGCTCCAGCTCTGCTACTGCCTGGCTATATGACCTTGGGCAAGTAACTGCTGCTGTCTCTGCTCTCTGGGCCTCAGTCTGAAAGTCTGACCAATGAGGACTGCAACAGTTGATCAGAGTGTCTCTGCCAGTGGAGGTTGGGTCCCACCTCTCCTCTGCCCGTCCATAGGTGCTGCCACGCCCACGACTGCTGCTACCAGAAGCTCTTTGACCTGGGCTGCCACCCCTACGTGGACCCTTATGAACACACCATCGAGAATAATACGATTGTCTGCAGTGAGTCCCTCTCCAGCTATCCGGGCCCCGGGGGAGGGCCATGGACTGGCAGCCCCACAGTGGGGCCATGAGCAGGGTTGCCAGATGAAATACAGTTACATTTGAATTTCAGATAAACACAAATAATGTTTTAATATAAGTATATCCTAAATATTGCACTCAAAAGTTAAGTATTCATCTAAAACTAATTCATATGAGCACAAAGTGAATTATTATCAGTATAAAATGAAGTATTGGTATAAGCAGGACCCAGCCAATATTTGGGACACATTTACACTAAAACATTATTGGGTGTTTGTCTGAAATTTAAGTTTAAGCGAGTGTCCTGTTTTTGTTTTGTTTTGCTTTTCTGCTAACTCGGACACCCTAGCCATGGGGCTCTGGCATGTCTCTTTGATGTGCTCAAATCCCCAAGCCTGGGTTGGACACCTGGTTGTCCATTCCCGTGATTCTTAAGCTTTGGGGAGTTTAGGGAGTGGTGCTGGTTCCCTGGGTGTGGGTGGGGTCTAGGAATCCACGTTTTTATCCCGAACCTGAGGCGATGCTTTGTCTGCTCTTCTGCGGGCCAGACTTTGTAAAACGTTGGCCTGGGAGTTGGGAGCCGTGGGCTTGGCCTCTGTCTCCTCACTGTGTAAACCTGGGCGAGCCCCTTCCCCACCTGGCCTCACTCTCCTCTGGGTACACTGAGGGCTTTGGGTCAGAGCAGATCTCTCCCGTCCAGTTCTGTCACTGGGAACACACCAGGAGGGGTGGCGCATCACAAGGCCCCGGTGTTCCCAGGGGTTCAAGGTATCAGAGCCAGGCCTGGCAGAGCTCCCTTCATTGGCGATGAGCTCCCCATGGCCATCCATCAGATGACGGATGCGCGAAAGCAGCATCGGAGCTAACAGGCCTAGGTGTCCCTGCCCCGCCCCCCTCGAACGCTCCTCTCTGTGGTCCCACCCTGTGCCCTGTCCCCTGGGCAGCCCCTGGGCTCTCTTTGCCTCCTTGTCTTAACTAGGCTCTGCAAGTTCTTTTCTGATGGCTCATAAGCAATGCCAGCTTTGCAAAGCAACTCAAGTCTCCTGTGTTCTGGGAAAGAGTCTGGGGGGGAGCTGGGCCCATTTGCAAACATTTGGGGGCCCAGGACTCTGTGGTCCCTGTATTCTGCTGTTCAAACACAGGAGAAAGGAGGGGCTGGCTTGAGAGAGGGGTATCCTCTCATTAAAGAAGTTCAAGGACAGACTCCCCCACCTAGAAAGACAATGGACTAACCAAAGCGATGGTCTTCACACTGGGTTCCGGGGACTCCTGGGGCACCAGGGTCTGCTGCCCCACAGCGGGTGTCCCCGAGGGGTCCCACTGGCTCTTTAATGTATATTATATATCAAGTCGTTTCTCTCTCAGTTGTTTGCTATATCATCCTTCTGCAAAGAGTTTCATTTAAGACAAAGAATCCTGCCAATGGGAGGGTTGAAAGTTTGCAAACCATTGACTTACTTGGTGGTTCTCAAAGTGTGTTCCCTGGACCAGCATCAACAGCATCACCAGGGAAATTGTTAGAAATGCAAACTCTCAGATCCACCCAGCCCTACTGACTCAGAAGCCCTAGGGGTGGGGCCTAGCAGTCTGTGTTTTAACAAGCCCTCCAGCTAATTCTAAGGCACACTCAAGGTTCAGAACCACTGGACTAGATGATTTCTGGAAGCTAATAATAATAACAACAGCAGCAGATATCACGTATTAAGCACTTGCTTAAGGAGCCCTGGTGGTGCAATGGTTAAACACTCGGCTGCTAACCAAAAGATTGGTGGTTTGAACCCACTAGCAGCTCTGTGGAAGAAAAGACCTGGCTATCTGCTCCCGTAAAGATTACAGCCTAGGAAATCCTATGGGGCATTCTAGTCTGTCCTATAGGGCTGCTATGAGTCAGAATCGACTTGACGGCACCTAACAACAAGAAGTGCTAAGCACTGAATTAAGCTCATTCCAAGCATTTTCTCACTCAAGCCTTATCACCGCCTCCCAGTGGGCATTCTGAGGCTCTGTGATTGAAGAGAGGAGGCCGGGGAAGTAGAGTCACTGGTCTGGGGATGGAGGCTCCTGACACCTGAGCTTCTGTCCCAACTCTGCCTCTAACTCACTGGGGGACTTAGGCAAGCCCACCCCCCTTTCCTGGCCTCAGTTTCCCCAACTGAAGAAATGCCCCAATGACCATGTTGGACTCCACAGCTTCGCCCACTTTAGCGAGCATCAGAGTCACCTGGATGGCTTGTTCCTCAGGTCTGGGTAGGGTTGGAGGTGATGCTGATGCCTCTGGCCTAGGAGACCCTCTTTTGAAAAGCACAGGACTCCATGAGTCTGCAATCTCCCTTTCTCCCTCCCCTCATTCCAGCTGGGCCGTCACCCCTTCACCCACAGCCTTTGCCCTCCCCCCATCTCCTACAGGCGAGCTCAACAAGACAGAATGTGACAAGCAGACATGTGAATGTGACAAGAAGGTCACTCTCTGCTTCCTGAACCAGACATACAACGAGAAGCATCGCAACTATCTCAACGTCTACTGCCAGGGCCCCACACCCAACTGCAGCATCTCTCAGCCACTCCCTGAGGAGGTTGCCTACAGACATGTCTCCCCGGTGTCTCCAGTGCTTTCCTAGCACTCTCTTGGGTCTGAAAGAGAAGGGGGGTTTCTGGTTCCCAGACCAGGCAGATGGACAGGTGTTGGGGGGACAGGTGGGGAGCCCAAAGGCCACTCTGCTGCCTCCTCCATGGAGCCCTCAGCAGGCCCAGCCCCTGGTCTAGCCCAGAGGGCTCCAGAAGGCCTGGGCCCTGGCCCCTGGTTCTCACAGCCCTCCAGCCAGCAGCTGAGTGTGGCTGCATTCTGCTGCTGGTTCCAGACCTAGTGGGAAGCATGTGGCCTCCACCTGAGTGTGAACGGAAAGGCCTCAGAAGGAGGGTGGACGCCTCCCACACTGGCCCCGCTGTACGTTCTCAGCCAGGCCCTCAAGGCTGGGCCAAGGTGCCCCCGGCACAGGCCCCAAGCTTGGGTGTGTGCTGGGACCAAGACCCCAGGTAGCGCTGCTCCTGAGGCCTGGGATTTCTTCTTTGGGGTCCTTGTGGCTAGCTGAGGCCCTCACAGAGCAGGTGGCCCCACCTTGAGCTTCATGGAAGTGGCATGGGAAGCCCGACCCAGACACCACAGGATGGCCACAATGCTTAGTGTTCTAGGCAAAGTGTCCCCAAAGTGCCCAGAGCAGGGACACTGGCAGAAGCCATGTGCATAGTGAAACTCACCTAGGTGCACAGAGACTAAGATGGGGTTCCTCAGATGCCTCCAACACACACAGATGTCTCCTGCTGACACACTCACGTGGAGGTGCATTTCAGCCCTGACCTGCAGCCTTGCACTGCTTGAAGGGGCACCCTGACTCCATGTCCTGACAAACACCAGAGAGGGCTGGCGCAGCCCTCCAGACCCTCCCCTGTTGCCACACTTTGGGCAGTAGCCAGGCCAGGGGGCAGAACGACCCCTGGCCCCTCTCTTCCTGGGCTGCTTGCAGGGCAGAGCCCTCTGGAGGGGAAGAGGCTGAGGGCTCCATGAAGGAGAAACAAAGTTGGGAGGGACAGCATGGGGGCGGGGAGGCAGTGGGAAGGAGCAGGAGAAGATGGAAGAGGTGAGACAAGGTGGGTGTCAGACGTCCAGACGCAGAGTGACTGCTCAGCAATGAAAGGAGAGAAATGGGGTGGGGGCAGAGGAACACTGGCAGTGTGGAGCCTCCTTGGCCTGTGCAAGTTTGGGGCCTGTGGGACTGTGGGATTGTGGGCAGAGGTGGAGCAGGACTCCGGCCTCAGTGGGGCCAGCTCTTCCTGAACCCACGCCCAGCACTGTCATTTCTCCAGGTGCACTTGCCCCAGTGCTCCCTTGCCTCACCCTTGACTTCAGGATCAGTGGCCTCCTGGCAGCCAGCCCACCCTGCCTCACATCTGCCAGCTCCTTCACCGGGTGTCAACCTCGACGACCCTCTGCAGTGGAGAGAATGTCTATGCAGAAGGTTGCAGGACTGGACAGAAGGCTCACCACGCTCACCACAAGGCAGCTTTGAGAACTCCAGCCTTCGGGACCGAGGATGAGGCTGTGGCCAGGGTCAGCTGTCGCTGTGTGCCGAACAGACCATGGGGTCCTGGAGGCCCTGCCACCTGCTGGCTGTGGTGTGATGGTTGTGGTGGCCTGTGTTCCCTGGCCCCAACGTCTCCGTCCCTGAGATGTCTACCCTCGAAGGAGCCCAGCTAACAGGCTACCCTTCTTCTCACTGTCACTGTCCTCAGCTGGCCCACATCTCTGAGCGGGCGCCCCACCAAGCCAGGGTGGAGCTGGGAGGGGTACCTGGAGGCGGTGACTGCAGAGGCCTTGGCCGCTTACCTGCCCCTTGGCCCAACCTCCGGGGAGCCTGGTTTCTGGTTGTGCCCCTTCCACACACGCACAAACCCCACTTCTGAATGTCAGGGTCAGAAAGTTGGGGTGAGAGTCTGCTGCTAAGGAGTCTTGCCCATTCCCCACCCCACCCCACCCCACCCCAGACTCGGCACACCCTCCTCAAACCAATAAAGGCCTCCTGCCTTAAGTCCTCACTGCTGGGTCCTCCTTGGCATGGCACCCACTGGCCAGGCATTGGGGGAGGAGGTACTGCGAATCACTCCTGGGTCTACAGCTCTGGAGAAAGTGGCTTCCTGACACCTAGCAGCTGGCATGGCCCAACCCCTCCCTGTCCCAGCAGAAAGACAAAGGTGGGAAAGTGGCCCTGCAGCCCAGCACACAGTCCACGGTTGGACAATGACACAGCCACTGAAGCTAAGTGCTTCTCGGACCTCAGTCTCGGCAGTGCTCTCCCTCCATCTCACCTTTTCTGTTGAACACTTGAGGCCGGAGAGGGAAAGCAGATTGCCCCAAGTCACACAGGTGATAAGTGATGGGGCTGAGGTCGGACTCCTCACCGTCTGACTTGTAGCCTCGCCTTCTCATCTCTCCTTTATGTGACTCGGCTGCCGACCAGGGCAGTGGGAGCAGGGACTGCGGCCCTGGATATCAGCTACTCTGGGTTCCCCTCCCAGCTCTGCTGCTAACATAGGTCGAGCCTTGGTGATCCCATCTGTGAAATGGGAATACATCCCTGCTCTGAGGGTCATAGGCTTGTCATGACAGCCCACCGAGAGAGCAGGTGGGAAAGAGATTTTTGAGATGAGGGGTGGGGGGCAGTGGGTTAGGGAGAGGCAGAGAGATTGTTACCATTGCCATCATGAGTTTGGAGGCCAGATGCTCATTACAGAGAGGTGGTGACAGACAGACCCGGGGAAGGACGTGGGCGGGCGACAGCAGGGTCCTGGGTCCTAGTCCTGCCCCGTCCCTGACTCAGGCTTTTTTCCATGGATAGAGTGACCAGAACAGCTGTTTCAAATGCTCCCCAAAGCCACATGCTTTCCTGGGGACCTCTCAGGGTGATTTCTGGGGGAGGGACAGGCTGAGCAGATGGGGCTCTGCCCCCTACCCCACACTCAGTCTTCAATCTGCAGCCCTGCTTTTCATGGATGAGATTCTGTAAGAAGAAAAGACATCCCTCAGCTTAAAAAAAAAAAAAGTCTGAAACCACCAGACAAGCTCACTCATTGATTCCTTCACTCTGTGGACCTGTGCTGTGGTCCCCTGTGTACCAGGCACGGTGCTGGGCTCAGGGGAGACCAGACTCAGACATAGCCTCTGCCCACAGGGAGCCCACAGTCTGGGAGCAGGCGGCAGATATGTGAGCCAATGACCGTGATACATGGTGCCAAGGGGTGTCACGGGGGAGCACAGAGGATGAAGCTCCAAGCCTGCCTGTAACAGTCCTGGCAGGGACCCCAAAGGCAGGGACATCTCTGCTGAGCCTGAGGATGAACGGAATAAGGGATGTATTTAAGGTGTATTTGGTGGGAAGGAGGAACAGGGGTCACAGTTTTTGAGGAGAAGGCTCCTTCTTTCTGCAATCTGGGGGTCTCTCCCTCCGTTAAGACTTCTGATAACCCCACCCAAGTTTCAGTTTTAGTTACCAAGTTAAGATCAATTCATGACGTCCCTATGTGCTCCATAGAGTTTCCAATGGTTGTTTTTTGGAAGCAGATCTCCAGGGATTTCTGCTGAGGCACCTCTGGGTAGACATGAACCTTTAATCCTTTGCTGAGCGCTGTAACCATTCGCACCACCCAAGGACTCTGGTCTTTTATGCTAAGGCTTGACACGAGGGGGCTGCATTTGCTCCTCACTGGCCTGGGGACTGCCATCTCTGCTTAGACCTTAGATCAGCCTTCTCCACTCTCTGGAGAATCACTGCCCCCACTTCCCGCCCCAGTTCTTCAGGTATCTGGTAGGGCACTCCAGGGAGCAGCTGGCAACTGTTTTCTAGAACTTGGGTGACACCTAGTGGCCATTATGGGTCACCACTGCTCCACAGCTCCCGCCCTTCTGCTCCTGCCCCTGAAGTGGGTCCTCGCCCTGTTGAGAGCCCTTGCCCCAGGCTGGCAATGCCCAGGAGAGTACAAGGAAATGGTCAGCAACACCCTCATCATCATTCTGTCATTGTCACAAACACAGCCTCTCACAAAGAGCATCCTTTAAAACAAAGAGCACAGACTTGGTGGCACCCTGGCTCTGTGCCTTGGGCAGTGTGGCTTTGGGGAAGTCATTTCACCCTTTGAGTCTTGAGTCTCCCACTTATAAGACATGGCTAATAATGAAGCACATGTCATGGGGTTTGAGGAGAAATGAGGTCACGGATGAGAACGCCCTGGCACAGGGCCTGGTATGGAGAGTAGAAACTGTGGGAGCTGGAGAGACTGCCCTTGGCTGAGTGTGTTGGGCAAGGGGCCACCGGGGCCAGGTGGGCAGAGAGCAGCAGGTTGAAGGAAGGAGCTGACGGAAGCTGATTGACGGTAATATCCTCCCTGTTATGGATTGAATTGTGTCCCCCAAAAATATGTGTTGGAATCCTAACCCCTATACCTGTGGTTGTGATCCCACTTGGGAATAGGGTTTTCTTTGTTTTGTTAATGAGGTCATATGTCTCAGTTATCAAGTGCTGCTGTAACAGAAATACCACAAGTGGATGGCTTTAACAAAGAGAAATTTATTCTCTCACAGTCTAGGAGGCTAGAAGTCTGAACTCGGGGTGCCAGCTCCAGGAGAAGACCTTCTCTCTCTGTCAGCTCTGGGGGAAGGTCCTTGTCATCAATCTTCCCCTGGACTAGGAGCTTCTCAGCGCAGGGACCCTGAGTCCAAAGGATGTGCTTAGTCTCTTGGCTCTTGTTTCTTGGTGGTATGAGGTCCCCCTGTCTCTCTGCTCACTTCTCTTTTATATCTCAAAAGAGACTGACTTAAGACAAAACCTGTTCCTGTAGATTGAGTCCTGCCTCATTAACATAACTCCTTCTAATCTGGCCTCATTAACATCATAGAGGCAGGAATTACAACACACAGGAAAATCACATCAGATGATAAAATGGTGGATAATCACACAATACTGGGGATCATGGCTTAGCCAAGTTGACGAACATTTTTAGAGGACACAATTCAATCCATAACAGCATATCAGTGTAGGGTGTGTCTTAAGCCTACTCACTTTTGAGATAC